TTTTGAGACAGAGTCTTGCTTTGTCACCCAGACTGGAGTGTAGTGGTGTGATCTTAGCTCACTGCAGCCTCCACCTCCTGGGTTCAAGTGATTCTCCTGCTTCAAACTCCCCAGCAGCTGGGATTACAGGCACCCGTCACTACGCCTGACCAATTTTTTAGTACAGACGGGATTTTACCCTGTTGGCCAGGCTAGTCTCAAACTCCTGACCTCAGGTGATCTGCCCGCCTCCACCTCCCAACCTGCTGGATAAGTGGATTGAAACCCATTTATCTCAGTAAGTTACTGACAGAATTTGCCTTCATCAGAGTAAATAGTCCCCTCCTCTACTGGGTTTAGCAACTATTTATCCCTTTAGGCTGGTTTCAAAACTCTCCAGGTCCTCTGTCCACCCAGCCTAAACTATTATATCACAAATTTGTCCTAGTCCCAATCAGGACCCCTCACTGAAAAAACCAGTCTTAGATGCCCCAAATCTTATAATCATTCCATCCTTGATCTCCCCTTTTGAAGTGCTACAAAGATTCTGTCAATTCAGTGGTCTCCCTGACTGTTGTAAACCATCAACTTGGCTTTGACTGATCCACAGGTTATTTACTGGAAGTCAGCAGTGACACTTATACGTTCCTTGAGGGAAGGCACAGTGCTTGGTATTTATTCTCCCACCTTCTCTAGGTGATCAAACATTGATGGAAGAGGAAGGTAAATGAGTTCTCAAACAGTGGGAGGAAAAATGTCCTGAGAATCAAAGGAGACCCTAGAGCAGGGGCAGTGGGGCTGAAGGTAAGAGCTCTCGTTGCAGAAGTTGGAAATTCTGCGGTTGGAACAAGTCTCCCCTTTTCTCTTGGTTTTATCCACTCGTCACCGCTTCTTCACACGTGGTACTCAGCTGATGTTGTTTTAAATATTAAAAAAATATAAACCATTCAAGCTCACCCCAAGCACTTCGTTACTCTGTACTTTTTTTTTTTTTGAGATGGAGCCTCGCTCTGTCGCCAGGGTGGAGCGCAGTGGAGCACGATCTCGGCTCACCGCAATCTCTACCTCCCCGGGGTTCAAGCGATTCTCTCGCCTCAGCCTCCCGAGTAGCTGGGATTACAGGCGCGCGGCAACACGCCCGGCTAATTTTTGTATTTTTAGTAGAGACAGGGTTTCACCATGTTGGCCGGACTGGTCCCGAGCTGTTTGGTGTTTTTTTTTTTTTTTTTTTGTCCCGAACTCGACCTCAGGTGATCCACCCGCCTCGGCCTCCTAAAGTGTTAGGATTACCGGCGTGAGCCACCGCGCCCAGCCCTCTTGTGATCTTTTTGAAGTGGTCTTTGCCTCACTCTTGAAGATGCCCATAATAATGGCTAAGGGGCTGTTGTATGTCTGGTTTTCATAGAGATGGTGATGAAGTCATTCAAAAAATATGCTGACCTGCGTCTCTAATTTCATAAATACTTAAAATTTCACATAAACACTGGAAAGGGTCCTTGCACTCAATACTCCATGATAAGTAATCTAAGTTTGCTTTTAGGCAAGAAATAGGACCAAGAAGGTGCTCATCCATTTTTCTACGTTTCACAGTGCATCCCTTCCCAAATTCAAATTGGCCTATCCCAGTTCCTGCAACAAGCTAGGTATTTGCTCACACTGTTCCTTTGGCAAACAGCCTCCCCCTCACCTCCTGGATGTACCGGCTCCTGCAGGATGCAGCCAAAAGGCCACCCGTGGTGACCTCTCCTAAAAGCCTTCCTCTGTACTCTCTGGCAGAATGAATGACCTTAATATGTGGCCTCTTACGCGTCTGCCTTGTGCTCGAACTGTCGCCTTCCAGCTAATCCATCTTGAGGTCCAGCCATCCTGGAGACTGAGGCCTATTCCTCTCGGATTGCCCAGTCAGTGCCTTGCACGTAGGAGGTGCTTAGTAAACGCTCGCACCGAGTTTGGTCACATTGTTCCTTTAACGACGGGACAGGTAGTAGAGCTGAGATGGCCCGCTGTCCTCCTCCCTGCCCACCCGCAGGCAAAATCCCCGGGAGACGGAAGACAAGCCGCGTGCCTCTCCCACCGCCCCCGCGGCGCGCGCAGCCCAGTCACGGGCGTTGGAAATTCCGGCGCGTGCGGGCGCTCTGGGCAGGGCGGGGGCGGGGGAACCCGTGGAGTGAGCCTGTGACGCGAGGGGGCGTGGCTCAATGAGGTCCCGCCCCCCTCCCTCGCCCTCTCTCGCGGGTCGGGGTTACATGGCGGCGACTGCGGCAAAGCGAGAGCTCCGGAGACGCCGCTGCCGCCAGCACAGCCGGAGACCTGAGCCGACACTGGGGGCTGTCCGCGGGCCCCGCACTCTCTCGATGAGTCGGAGAAGTCCCGTGAGTGTGTGTGTGTACGTGTGCGTGGCGCGCCGGCTGGGCGGCTCGGGAGGGCGCCGCGGCGGGCCCGGCGGCGGCGGAGCCGGCTACCTCCTCCATTGTGTGTGACCCTCCGGCGGCTGCCGCTCAACAAAGGCGCTTTTGTTCGATCTCCTGCCCGCCCCCTGCTAGCCCGCCGGCCCGCCCGCTCCGGCCTGGCCGGCGCGTCCCCGCGCGGGCAGGGAGGCGGCGGGCAGGGGTCCCCGCGTGGGGCAGGCGAGGCGGCTGGCGTGCCCCTCCCACCCGGCACGCCCCTAGCCCGTCGCCCGGTCCGTCAGCGCCGCGCCGCGCCCGCTCCCGGGCCACGCGTGCCGGCTGCCGCCCCTCTCCCGGGTCCGCGGGTTCGAAACCCCGCCTGACTGGAGGGCGGGTGAGCGAGGGGCGGCGGCCCGGAGAGCATGAGGTGGCGCGGAGACTCGCCTTCCTGGCACGCTGCCTTTCGAAATGCTCCCACGTCTCCTCCCCCATCCCACCCGGTGACTCGGCCTCAGCTGACTCCGGCCGGGCAAAGTCTCCAGTGGCGTAGCGCGCAGCGCTCACCCGGCTTGTCTCAGAGCCCTGAAGTCCGCTCAAGTTTTGAGTCTAGCCATGAATGAGGTACTGAGAACTCCGAGACGAAATTCCTAATTTCCTCCCCCGGCCCTACAGCCTTTCCTTAGCTTCTTTCGGGACCTTAAGTGGTGGTCTGTAAAAAAGTGCCCCAGTGAAATTTTGTTTTGTCGGTTCTCCAACAAGGGCCTCGTCACTTTGCTGTGCATTTTAATCCGCCTGTGAGTTGTGTTGAAAAGTAAAGGTGTTTTGGTAGCCTTTTGTTTCTTGGCGAGTGTAGGACCCAACCGGTTCAGGTGTTACGGGAGCTCTGTGCAGGAGGAGCTTCTTGATTTCTTTACTGTTTTATTTTTTCTCTTGCTTATTCATTGGAAAAGATCCAGTGAAAGGGACTGGTGAGTTGGAATTAGAAGCCTACTGTATTAACAGCAGAATTCATGTTCATTGCTAAAGATGCAGTCTCAGTAATGCCTTTTTTTTTTTTTTTTTAAACGCATACAGATGATTTGTCAAGGGGAAAAATTAACGCGCCGTACAAGGAAGAGCAAGCAGCTTCAGAGTAATTTTCTGATACTGATTCTTCTAGCCTGTATCTTACAGTTCCGACTAGGCATATCTTCTCTCTTTAACGCTGGGAAACCGAGGTGGAAAAAATGATCTGACCAGAAGAATGTAGGGTCCAACCAGGGCCTGGCCCTGAAATCAGGAATTTGTTCATAAACATGTCAGATTTTAATGTTGGAAAAATAATTTTGAATTGGGTGGAAAGAAACTTTGTCTTTAGATAGTAGTATTCAAACATGTTTATGAAGTGTTTGCTATATGCCAAGGAGTGTAGTCTTTTCACGTATATGTTACGTCATTTAGTAAGAATTGCCTTGTTAAGCTTGTAAAATTATTTATTAATATCCTGAATTCAGTAATTGCAGTTATCTAGAAAATATGCCAGATTTGAGCAGAACATATTAGATCATCTAGGTATTATTGTTCAGAAGAAAACACTGGAAAATGGAGAATTATTTTAGAAAAAGCTTCGTGTATATTTTGGAATTCAGTTATTTGCAAGTGGTTTAGAAGTTGTCGTTGGCTACTTTCTGTGATTAAAAAATCCAGAGAAGAGTGATTTGAAGTCAGTTAATTTTGCAATAAAAAATGCACACATTCTAAAGGGAAGTGTTAGCACTAAAAGTGTTGCAGTCCTTTACATAAATTCATTTAAAGCATCGTGAGAATCATAACTGACAAAATAGTAAGGTTTGCTGACTCAAGGTACTTTGGTGAAGGGGATGGGGTCGGGTAGGAGGAAGCTTACAAGTGCTGCTTCAAGTTTTGAGTTGGATGATGACTCATGCTGCCCACGGACTGCTACGTGGCTTTTTTTTTTTTTTTTAAGTGTATTTTTTTTTTTTTTTAAATGATAGGCTAAAATGTTCCTGTCCATATTGACATTCTCTTTTTTTCTGAAGAGGAACAGCAGTTTCTCTAAAAATGTAATGGCTTCTTAAATGCATTTTAAAAGGGTATCATATAACCTACAGGTGGAATTGTGTGACATTTGCTGAGAGGAAAGGTAAAACCAATTGCTGGTCAGGTGGTGAAATGAAATGTTTGATACTAGCAGGTTTTTGGCTACTGCTGAGAGAGATTTGTTACAGGTTATTTATAAAGTCAGTTAGTACTTTTATGGTGTTGGTAGAAATTGACCTTATGTTTTTATTGGTTACATAAGTTATCTTTATAAACTCTAGAAATTACTGGTTTAAATAGGTATTGTAAAGATACCATCAGTGATTAATATTTAATCAGATGTAATTCTGAATAGGAAAGTTTCACTCTTGTAGAATTATTAAAACATGATTATATATTGTGCTTTCTTATGATTTATATGAATTTTCTGTTTTAATAAAGACAGCTTGACGTAGGCATTAGGCCCTAATTTTGATGTTTTTTTTTTTTTTTTTTTTTTTTTTTTTTGCTGAAGATAAGCTGAATGTACAGTTCCAGATTACAACTTTAAGTTGAAACTCGGTAATAAATTAAATCTTTTGACTGGTTTTAAAACAGGCAACGTTTAGCAACTTGGCTTAAAATACGATTGAGAGGGGAAAAAAGATTGAGAATGGCAGTTTGAGTGGGGCTGGGCACTGTGGCTCCTGCCTGTAATCCTGGCACTTTGGGAGCCTGAGGTGGAAGGATCGCTTGAGGTCAGGAGTTCAAGACTAGTCTGGGCAACATAACGAGACCATCTCAATTTTTAAAATAAAAGAAAAAAATTTCCTACCCCATCCTCTAGTTTTTCTATGTATACTGTTTATTTTTCCAAAGGGATTTGAGGAGTTCGTAAAGTGTTTGTTGTTTTTGTGAGACAAGGTTATGCTGTCACGGAGGCTGGAGTGCTGTTGTATGATCACTGTTCACTGCAACCTCTACTACCTGGGCTTAGGTGATCCTCCTGCCTCAGCCTCTGAGTAGCTGGGACTACAGCTGTGTGCGACTATGCCTGGCTAGTTTTTGATATTTTTTTGTAGGGATGGGTTTTCACCATGTTGCCCAGGCTGTTTTTGAACTCCTGGGCTCAAGCAATCCTTCTGCCTCAGCCTTCCAGAGTGTTGGGATTACAGGCATAAACCCCTGATCTCGGTCCGGAAAATGTATTGTTAATATGAATTAAATTTTTGAAATTATTTTGGGAGAGTATTGCATGATTTATATATAAAGGATTTTTTATAAAGTTTAATTCAAACTTAAAAAAATATTTCCTGCTAAAGGAAACATGGAAATACAAATATCAAAGTATTGAATATTTTCAAAGCATCACATTACTTAAAGGTTTAACGTATTTCCAGCGTTGTTCTCTAATATAGGTAATTAGCTGTGGTGCATCATTCAGAGTTTAAAAACAAATTGGGGCTGGGTTTGGTGGCTCATGTCTATAATCCCAGCACTTTGGGAGGCCAAGGTAGGTGGATCACGAGGTCAGGAGATCGAGACCATCCTGACCAAATACAAAACATACAAAAATTGCCTGGGTGTGGTGACGAGCAGCTGTAATCCCAGCTACTCAGGAGGCTGAGGCAGGAGAATTGCTTGAATGGGGCGGGGAGGGGGGAGGGAGGTTGCAGTGAGCCAAGATTGGGCGCCGCAGCTCACACCTGTAATCCCAGCATCACTGCACTCCAGCCTGGTGACAGAGCGAGACTCTGTCTCAAAAAAACACAACTGGATATCTTAGCCTGTTTCCTATCTCCAAGGTACTGCTTTAGGAAGTGCTGAACCTTCTCGCCACTGCTATCCACTTCCTTGTTGCTTTTGAATCATTTGAACCCTGTCTTACTTTAGGGCCTCTGTTAAAATGGAAAGAAGATGCCTCAGAAGTAAATTCTGTGTGGCATTGTTGGCTGCCCTCATCAGTTCATTCGGCCTGTTTTGTGGGCTGTTACATTACACTACAACCTGGCTGTGGTGTGGGAATTTTGCTCATTTTTATTGCTCAGAGCCTTGACTGAGACTTTACAGTAACATTGAAATTGTTTTTGTAGTTAATGGCATTTTCCAGGGATTGCTTTCATGTGAAGCTGATGCTTTTAAGATAGTGGTGTGGGCCGAGGCCAGCATTGGTTTTTCTCCTCCATGAAATGCCTATTTGGAAAATACTGTGTGCCTCTCTGATAGAGTTCTAAAAGATCTGTCTTTCATTCATGTCGGCCTTCTAAGTCCATTTCTAAAAAAATTGTTCAGAGATTGAATGTTTATATAGCAAATAAAATTTTCTGATTTTTGTTAAGTTTGTTTTTTTACAGAAAAAACTGGTATCATAAAAGTTGTTTTTTAGAATTTTAGCGTTTACCTCAGAAAAGTCTGCAGAGAGTACAAATCTATATGCATTTAATTCTGTACAATCATAAAACTTCAATATATTAGTGTTTTGGAGGGGTCATGGGCATTATCTTGCCTCATTCATGTACGTCATTTGATAGCTTAAGAAACCAAGGAGCCGGGCGCGGCAGCTCACACCTGTAATCCCAGCACTTTGGGAGGCTGAGGCGGGTGGATCATGAGATCAGGAGTTCGAGACCAGCCTGACCAACATGGTGAAACCCCGTCTCTACTGAAAATATAAAAATCAGCTGGGCATGGTGGCATGTGCCTTTAATCCCAGCTACTCAGGTGGCTGAGGCAGGAGAATTGCTTGAACCTGGAGGGCAGAGGTTCCAGTGATCCCAGCTACTCAGGAGGCTGAGGCGGGAGAATTGCTTGATCCTGGAAGGTGGAGATTGCACCACTGCACTCCAGCTTGGGCCACAGAGCAAGACTCTCTTTAAAAAAAAAAAAGAAAGAAAGGAAGAAACTAACGCCTGGAGAGATTGAAGACCTTGTTACTGAAAAGTGTAATTTCTGGAGCAACAGTACTG